CCCCCCACCTTTCTTCCAGTCAGGGTATGAAATGGTGCAGGTGCCAACAACCTCTTTACACCTGCTTTTGTATACACAGATTCTGGATTTATTTCAACCAGCTGGTGCTCCTGGTCCAGCCTGTCCCTTGTACATCAACATCAGCAGTGTATGCTTGCTAGAGAAAAGCATGTTTCAGCTGGAGAACCAGCTGGAATGACAGCTGTAGCGAAACTCAGGCATTTGCCTATTCTTATCAGCTTTGCAACTCACACTGATGCGTGCTTCTTGGGGTTGATTTAGTAAATAATATGGCTGTGTGACAGCAAAAGCTGACTCTTAACCTGGTACGTCCAAATGGAAATCAGTACCTAAACAAACCAACATGGCCTCCTGCTTTTGGTGAAGCCTTTGATAGAGCTGCTGAAGAGAGCATCTTTCTCCCAAACCCTTTTAGCTGTAGATTTGAAGAACAGCTTGCTAAGATTAGAAACTTAAGAATGAAACCACGTAATGAGATGCAGTAATTCCTTGTTTGACAGCTATTTATAAATAAGATGTGTTTTCAACAACTGCTTGTTCAGAAATACTACTTTTTCAGAATGCAAGCAAAACCTAATTCTGATAATGTTTTTAATATTTTTTTTTTATATTATCACAGAAATCACTTTTGAGTTACAAATTTTTCGATCCTCTGATGAACAAGAAGCAGAGGGTATCTCACTTGAACAGTCAAGTCCAGACAGCATTTAGTGGCCAATTGCAGGCCTACGGCGAGAAAGCCACTGCTGCCCGTCCACCATCTGTATCCCCTGCAGCCACCATTACTCTCCCTTCTCAGACACTGCCTCCTAAACTCCTTTCCGCTTACAACCCTCCTCAGACCATCAGTTCCACCTCTCCCAGCACCTCTGATGGGCGGGGATCACAAAACTTGCTGGTGAACAGCTTCAGCCAAAGTAACAGTAGCATCTGTGAGAACCAGCAACAAAAATACACCTCTCAGACTCCTTTGGGCACCCAACCTCCAGCTGTGATGCGGGTGAAGTCTCCCAAGTCTGCAAGAGAGAAGTATGCGCTATGGTACCAAAATCCTGAAAAGGTAAAAAAACATGAGGAGAAGGACAAAAGCAAAGTGCAGGACACGAAGAGAGTGAACAAGGAGAAAGACATTAGAAAAGAAGAAACTGCCATGCTGGAAGAATCCTCCTGTTTGGATTCAGGTGAAGGTAGGTATTAATACACTGCTTTTGCTAACTACTGTGTGGATAGCCCTAGTGAAAAGGGGCCATTAAATCCAGGAATTGGAAACACAAGCGTTCATTTTTTCACTTGCTTTGCCATTACCCCAACTTTATGGTCGTGAGTATTCTCACTGAAAATTAAGGTCATTTTTAAGAATTCTCACTGAAAATTAAGGTCATTTTTAAGAATTCTCACTGTGTCGTACAAAAACCATTCAATCAAAGAAATCTTAAATGAATTGCTGTTGGGCAGAAGCTGGTTAAAGGAAAGAGCTAGATACTAGAAAAACACTGGTAGTTCACTGAAACTTACTCTTTTTCCAGCAGCAGGTTTTAAAGCCTGCATGCTGAAAGTAAAAACGTGTCACATACTTATTGCATACTAGTTTACTGAAACACATAGATCAGACATAAATGTCTTTCATTGTGTATTAAACTCTGCCATTTCACACGAAGTCTAAAACATGTGTAAACTGACATGTAGTTTTACCAGAGCTTTGGTTTGAATTGTGCTGTAAGCTCCTCTCCACCTTGGCTGCATAATTTATGACTTCAAAAGATGTAGAAATGGTGCACACTTAAAAAGGCATTGAAAAATTAAACAGAAACACACAAAGAATACATGATTTATTAACACATAAGCACACAGAAAACAGGGCAGAGTTCAGTTCCTTTGTTAAATGGGTGTTTAATTTCAGAGGTTTAACTTAGAAGTCAGGTTTAGTCCTTTCCTATCACAGTTAGGAGGCATCTTAGGGTGCCTCTTTGAAGTGTTGTTGCACTCCTAGATAAGGGTGCCTTAAGATGATCTTTTCACATCAACCCTGGTCGTACTGCACAGTGCCCACACAGCTTGAGGTTGCTTTGAAGATATTCATGCTTGAATTCATAAACATGTGAGCATCTTTCTCCAGAAGCTAGTAACAAAATTCTGAACAGCTAGGTAAGGAAAAGTCTGTACTATGTTTCAAGTTGGTGCTTACAGTGAAGCTTTGAAACAGACAGAGCCATATCAAGAAATGGACTTGAATTCTTTGAAATGAAATGCTTGCAGCAAAATTGTCCACATAAGTTGTATTGTACACACTGTGACTATTAATATTACTGTTGGCATTTCCCTCAAAATTTGTTGCCACTTTTACACTTTTTATACTCCTCCTATACCATGTAATTTTAATATTAAAAGCAAAAGAATCAAGTGGAACATTGCATGATAGCTCTTTTTTTCTCCCTATGACTTAAAGCTCAGGTAGCTCAGAGGTTGTCAAGAATGGCTGAGCTTTAGCAGAATCACTGTGTTTACGCAATGTCAGTGCAAGTTAATAATGAATACAAAGGATTGTGTGGTTTTTAAGCTTGACAGAAAACCCCACATGAAAAGCAATGAGATATTACCAAGATACTGAGTGTTCCTTCCTGTTCCTGCCAACTTTTCGTTACAGCAGCTATTTTTCTTATTTATCAAAAAGATAGGATACTCCTGAAATACTACTTTAAAAAGAGGGATTAGAGATTAAGTATATCATGCTTTCATAATGCCATTTGAAAGAGCAAAAGAGCAGTTTACAAGTGCAAATAACTTTGAAATATGGTATTGCCGTTAATGAGGAGCAAGTCTCTGTTGCAGGTTATTCAAGCCTGAATGCCAGCAGCCCATATACAATGCTACTGACTTTCCTGCTTAGCAGAGTGTTGAAATTACATCTAATTTTGGGAATCTGTAATTGGCAGGGAGGAAGGGATAAAAACATGGCATGAAAAGGAGTTCAGCTTTCTACTGTATTTCTTGCTGGAACCTGGATGTTGAGATAGATTTATATACAGAAACATATATATTAATGTATCATGCTGTCGTCTTCTGCGCAGCTACATCTGTTGCTATGTAACTTGAATTGCTGTGCTGATGCCACATCATGTCTTCAAATAAGAAAAGCTGACTTCGGGTTAATATTGCAGTAGCACGAAACCTGTAGAATAAAGTAGCTGTGCCTTTTTCTAAACTCTGGTACTGCCTACTGTGGAGAAGGTTGTGTGAGCTCTATTACTAACTTATAGAGCTTATTCCAAGTAATTCACTGTGAGAATAAAACTGTAAAGGGTTTTCTCAAGCCCATCAGGTTGGTACTGTTTGGCTGTATTAAGAATCTGCTTACCACAAGTGTCGTATTCTGCTTTTCTGTAGGAGTTCAGGAAACTTACGCTGCCTTCACAGATCCTCCTTCACCAACAACTGAACAACCAGACTATGTAATGTGAGTAAAATTGTAATTAACTCTCTTGCCACTCATGCAAGCAGATGAAAAATCACTGCAAAACCTCTCATTTAGCTACAAAATTGAAAATTTACCAAAATGTAATTTTAGAATAACAAGAAGTTCCTTTAAGTCACCCTACTGCTTTGTTTAAGTACCTGTGAGTTTTTTAAGGTCTGAGGTTGTTGTCCCTTAATTATTGTGGGGGAATAGAAGTGCTAAAAAGTGTTTTTAACATATTTTAGAAGAACACTTAAAACATTTAATTTCATTCTTCTTCAAGAACACAATAAAAAAGGAATATGAACCTGCACTGTTTTCTTCTTAGAAATGAGGCAATACAGAAGGAAAGCTGAATACTAGAATACTCAATACATAAATTTGAACATCTTTTCTGTGTTTTCACTGCTTAGTGCATCTAAGCTGGAAAGGTTGGGAGGGCAGATGGCAATCTTTAAAGTCCAACATGACAAAGCCTATATATGAGCTAAAAAGAGTTAAGCGTTCAAGGTTTTTCTAAAGCTTTAATGTAAAATGGCCACTGGCTAACTTGAAGCTACAGCAAAATACCCTATTTCACCACAGAATTGCAGACCAAAAAGCTAAAGAAAAAAAAAACCCTACTCAATTCAGATTTTAAATTTCAGCTGCTTAATTTTTACTACAAAGCAAGATAGAAGTGCATTAAACTTGACTGTGAAATGTTATGTATCTACAATGGCTAGCATATTGCAGTCTGTAAAGTTTTAGAAGGACTTTGCAGTAAGTTTAATTTTAGCTCCTTAACAAGTTGTCACACATCAGATTAACATTCCCGAAAGTTAAAATTTACCTCCTATGTAAAAAAGATTTTTATCCATGACAAGTATTAAAGAACTTTCTTTAAATGAAATAGCTCTAATAACAGAATCATTTGATTGCCTAAATACTTTCTTAGAATGTTAAAACTTCACTGTCAGGAGGATTCTTCTTTAGTGTTGTAAAACAGAGAAATAACTTTTGCAAATGCCAGTGTCTGAGCTTTTTCCCTACTGTTTTATTGGTGGCCATTCTTAAAGAAGCGTGAAAGTTGAAGGAGGCTGCAGTGGAATAACTTGGCCAGTGCAACCTGAATTTCTATGAAATGCTTTCTCTTTTTGTGGGGAGGAGGTAGAGTTGGCACTGTGGGGGCCAATCTAAAGCTCTTTTCTCCATTGGAAAGCTGAGTTTGAGGTTTTGACAGGCCTTCAGTGCTCAGAGCTGAAATGAGTGCCATGATAGGTAAAGCCAGGATGATCCTGACACTTCCCAGCAGTGCTATTGTGCAGCGTGGGCCTCAGCAGGAGCATTGAGTCCCCTTGTCATATTCACAGTACAGAAGAGGGGGAACAATTTTGTCTCTCTTAAAACACTGAATTGCCAGGTTCACCAGCTTCTCTCAGAGAAGTAATATCACTTCAGCAAGGGAGGTGAGGCCTCTGTAGAACTTGAACTTTGGTATATTTCCTGTCTGCTTTAAGGTAGACAGTGTGGTAGCACCCTGCTTCATACTTTATGCAGTTAGTGGTGCTCCTTGGAAAGACTGAAAGCAAGTCTGGCCCTGCAGGGAAGCAGTTTTAGTACTTCATGTTTTAGGCTGAGAACTCAAACTTAAATTTAATTCCCAACCTCTGCTGGGTGAAAGTGAACAGGTTCAGCTCTTTGCTGTCTGCTTCTCAATCAGTGGAGGGCAGTGATACTGAGGAGTAAGGGATATGGTTATTTGATATAAGTTAAGATTAAAGATGGATTGTAGAATCACAGAATAGTTTGAGTTGGAAGGGAACCTGAAGACCATCCATTTCAACTCCAGCCATGAGTAGGGACACCTTCCACTAGAATAGAAGCTAATAGCCATTTCTAAAATAAAAAAAAACCCCAACCTACAATACACACACACACACACACACACACACACACACACACACACACACACAAACACACACAAAAAAAGAAAAAAGAATAAAACCAAAACCAAAGCAAAACAAAAAAACCAAACAAACAACAAAACCACACAAAACAAAAACCAAACCAACTAGAAGCAAAACAAAATGAAAAGAAAAAAAGCCTTCATGCAAGATTTCATCAAGTTTTCATTGAGATTTCACTAAATGTCTTAGTTAAATAGATGGCAATGGAACTGGTGTTCAATAAAATAATCAAATTTTATCATTACCTGTGCTTCAATGTTACTTGTAGGCACAAATGTAACTAAAAATCTAAGTGCATCCAACTCCATAAATGAAATCGCTTCCAAAAATGAAAAATGTAATTAAATGAATTTTCAAAAGTAAATATAACCTAATTAACCTTCATAGAAAGAGATTATAATCTAGCAGTTTCTCTTATTTCACTGAAGCTGATGCATTTATTAGTCATTCTATATTCGAATGTTTGCTAATGTTTTCTAAGTGTGCTACACTTTGTTTTTGTGCAGCTTCTGAATAAAAACTCTCTTAAGTAAAGTATTAGCAAATAACTGTCACAAAAATATAATAGATTTCTACAATTACCTGAATAAATTATCTTGGAACATGTGTGCTTACATGTAGAAGCAGTCAGTTAACTGACTTAAAGCTTGGGTGTCTGTGCTTGATATTCACTATGTTCTTGGGGGAAAATTGCATGTGTGCTTGTTTTTCCATTAGAAAATACACAGATATCATCTCAAAAGAGCAACGTGAGAGTTACAAGGGAGACTTCTATGCAGAGTATGGTGAATACAGGACTTTGCATGCTTGGATAGAGAGTATCACCAAAAGATTCATGAAGTTTGATGCACGACGAAAACGTCTTTCTCCAGAGTCCAAGGAATATCGGGTAAAGAAGGATGAAAGTGTGAAGATTATGTTTCATCTCCCTCTTATCCCTTCCAAAAATCCACATATTCAGCACACACAGGCTCCTCAGTATATTTATCTATTAAAATATATAGGTGTGGTTTTAAAAGACTTGCCAGGTTCAGTGTCTGAGACTGAGTAACTGGTCATAGAGCTGGAACTACCAGACTGGCTCAGACTTTGCCGACCACCTCAACGTCCAGGCAAGGCGAGGGAGTGCTGTTAGGCAGATGGGGAAGAAGACTGGAAGCATCCATAATCCCAAAGCTTTCCCTGACCCTCTCTTTCCCATGATTTTAGACATTTAACTACATCTGTAGCCACAACTTACCCATCTTCCAGGTAGCTGATCGTAGCTATGATTTTAGCAGAGAAGGGGGTTAAAAATCTGATACTCTGGATCTCCAGCCTGGACTGCTCTGGTTTGGATATACAAATTCCACATGTTTAATATGAAAGTTCTTCAATTCTGTGTGCACTGAGGATTTTGATTGGCTTTTATTTGTTGGTCAGATTGTAAGTGTATTTTTGAGCGTTTTAAAAACCCTGGTACTGTGCAATCAGACAAAGGGAAAACTTGCAGAATTTCCATACATGCTCTGACCCTGCGTGGGTTAGCTCTGGTTTTTGAAGCTTGAGAAAACTCTACAAAAAGCTGTTCAGCCCTCAAACTCCACCTGTTTGAGCTGTCTGTGAACACACAACAGTGTGAGCAACTTCTGAAAGTACATCTTCAAACACATTCTCCTTTTATTGCCTATTTACAGGTTTAATTTCAGATCTTGGGTGATATGGGGGGCTGTGGGTTTATTTTTTGCAGTGCAGGAAAGTGGTGGTTCATAGCTAAGAAAATATCTTGAGTGAAACTGAGTATATTATTAGTATTCTACGTAAATTTACATTTTTCTGGTAGTAGTGAAATGTTGTTCATGTTCTTTTTATTTGAAGGTACTTCATGAAGAAGTTATAGAAGAGTACCAAACATTAGTACAGGTATGTGTAACAGCAGACTTGTGGGATGTAGTAGTTACTGAGACTGGCCCAAGTCTATTTTTAAGCAAAGGATATGAAATCCTGAACTCTTCTGCAGAAATGTTTTCATGTCCTAATTTTCTTTTTACCTTTACAGTCTAGTCCCAGCTACCATGAACAGAAGAGCAGATGCGAGTATCTCCACAGCAAGCTGTCTCACATCAAGAGACTGGTTGTGGAATTTGACGAGCACAAGCAGAATTATGACACTAGTCTTCTGCTTTGATCAGGATGTGAATGAACCGAAGGTTATTTATGTAAAACCTAAGATTAGTTGCTCTAAAATTCTAAAAAATAGTATCAAACTTCTGCATTAAGCAAGTCTCAGTATTAGCAGACTAAAGTTAACTACTCTTGGCTTTATTTGTTGTCGCTATATGCATATTTGAAGCTGCTTTATCTGGTCCTTTCTTTTCTTCAAGATTTATGTTTGTTTATTTTAAATAATTTTATCAGTAGGTGCTGGGGAACCAGTACCTCTACTATGAAGTTCTGCACATTTTAAGAAAATATTGTAGCAAATTGAATTGATATTGGGCAAATATACGGCTGGTTTCTGACATTTTTTGTTAATGCAAAGTCTTTGCCTTAAATGGTAGAAGGTTTAGAAATTTGCACAAAATACTTTTAAAAAAAGAAATCACATTGTTTTGGAGGGTTAAAGAGGCATGTATATGTGCTGTATATGGCCCATTTTGTTACAACAGAAATTCACTCCTGCAACTTAAACCCCCCTTTGCAGTGATTGCCTTAAGGTATTTGATTGGGTATATTTAGTGTAGCTGTTATTAGCTACACTGCTTTCCACTTTGCTGAAGCACCTGGGAAGCACTACATGGCCTACGTACACTACTAGTGTCTGGAAGTGTGTGTTTGTACTCTGTGTGTGTGCAAGAATGTGTGAGTGTGAGCATGTGTGATGGGGGAAAAAGAAAAAGCTGCTACTCTAGGTAGGCCAAATGCTCAGGTTAAACAACTGATATGTGTTGCTGTAGGTTTTTCCTGTAAGATTGCTACTTCTGTCATGGAAGATGAGAGCATTCCATTTCAATAGTTTGTCAGCTTTAATAATATTGGGGAAGTTCATACTTTACAAAAATGAAACAGATATATAGTTTTGGGGCAAGATTATAAAATTAAACATGTAGGTTACCTATTTATATACTATTATTTGGGGATAATAATTATAATTGAATAATCATTATTATTCAAAAAGAATATTTTTGAAGAGAGATATGCAAAGAAGCTATTGCCTACATGAAATGTATATTTAAAGATTTTAGTCCTGGGTACCAGGAATATAACAAAGAATGGATGTATTTAACTATGAAATACTGTGACCACCAAATAGCACAAACTTTCATTTCATGCAGTTTTTTGGTTAATTTTGATGTAAACCATTGCTTACCTTATGATGTTAAATCACAGGTTATTTGGTCAAAACTGAGCAAAATCTTGTGTCTTACTGTGTTTGTCTTTTCAAAATGCTGCCAATGGAAAAGCGAAGCATTACATTTACAAATCTGATTTGGGACTTCTGCTGAAATTTTGGAAGTATCGCTAACAGTCTCTATCTCCAGCATTATTAAAAAAAAAAATAAAAGAAGCTGTTATGTATTGCTGTAAACAAGAAAATACTGGATTGCCAGAAAACATGTATTCAGGTAAATGGAAGCTATGGAATTTTTGCCTTAAATTGTGAGTTCAAAGATGTTACAAATAGCAAGCAAGGTGGTTTGCCAGTGGTTTTTGTTACTTTCTTGAGACCATGTTGACTTTGGGAACGCTTGCATTAGTACAGCTGGTTTCAACTTCACATTTCAAATAACAAAATGAAGACTTCTTGGTTCCTGTCGAGAGCTGCATCCACCTGAATTTAATGACTGGATGTTGTCCTGAGCATGCGCACACAGTTGTGCCCAGGAGCTGTTAAATTCATGGCAGTTCTGCTGCAGCTTCATTGGGTGGTTGTAAACTACCTAAAAACCACATTCATTTCAACCAAGAAATGAAGTGGCTGTTCAGATTAAAACTATGTGCAGTTCCTGACACTGGGACACTTTTCTGCAACTTTGTACTCTTTATCTAAGCTGTGTGTCTGGATCTGGTATTATCGGCTGTTACAGGACAGACGATACTGCTACAATTGTTTCGATGTGTTGTGATCACTGCTAGTGCTGTCACTCTGTAACTGTGACCCAGTGCAGTTGATTTTATTTCCCCCCCCTACCTTTTGCCATGGACCAGCATTCACATGCATCTTCTGGTTTATAGGCTGCATATGTGTTGCAGCTGGAGATTAGTGCTGCTTCAGAGGTCTGGCACTGCATATTATCACCAGACCTGGCCCAGCTACTCTAAAGGTCTTAATTGAAGGTTTTGCTCATTTGCACTGGGCATTTCTGAAGCATTGCAAGTACAACCTGCAGCATGTGTATTGCAAAACAGTGCTGTAAATTTGTGTATCATTGAGTTCAGTGAATGCTGGAAGCCTACAGAAGCAGGGCCTCTGACTGTACAACTGCCTTTCCTGCAAAACTGGCGTGCTGACTCAGAGAAACAAACATTGCCTGTGGTGGCATCTCAGCTGGGGTTACACTACTACAAACCCAAAGCAAATGACTGATGTAGAGGTGTCAACTGTCCACACCTCCTGAGTGAAAACTATGAATTTCGGTTGGAAGGGAGGCAATAGCCCTTTCCTTTTGGCTGAAAAGACACAGCTTAGAGGGTTGGTTTCCAGTCTTGCTGGGATTTGAGAGAGAATTGCACCAAAAGGAATTTTTTCTTTTAAATTTTAGATATGCTCTGTGCTGTCACTTGAAACAGCTCACTTGACTGCTTTTAAGTCTGTACTCTACCTTGCCATTTATTGGACAGAAAAAGGTGATATTCAGCTCATTTGGAAGTGTAAAACATATAGGCAAGTGGTGGAGGCAGCTTACTTCAGTAGGTTTTAAACAGAAATCTGGTTAGCGCGTTGTTATTGTAACTTGGCTTGTTTATTATGTTTTTAAAAATAGTAATGTTACATTAGTTCTAGATAGTAACTGTTGATTCATGCGAAGACCTATGGCTACTTTAAAATATAATTCTCTTTGTAAGTTTACTGTCGTTTGTTTCTGTACCTGATGGGGGATGGATGTGGCCAGCAATTCCATAACCTTCTTTTGGGGAGGGATATGAAATTGGTCAAGGGAGAACAACTGGGAACATGAAGGCTTAAAACAAGACTGTGAGTCCCCCTTTCTGACTTTGAGAGTATTTTACAACTTTTCCAATTGTTTCCTTATAAACTGTATTAAGACTGTATGTGAAATATCTTGGAGTGTTTTGTTAATGAATACTTGAGCCGTTGTTGCCTATTTGTTCTATATCAATTAAAGTTCAGTAAAATGTTAACTTTCCTATTTGTTCTGTATCAATTAAAGTTCAATAAACTGTTAACTCTGCAATCCGGAGGCTTCACTTTTTCCTTCTCTGGGGGGTTAGTGGAGCACCTCCAACAATGCAGCACTGCCACAGGCACTGCCATGGGGACCACTGCTTTACCCCTGGAGCACCTGTGGTCCATCACTCTGCCCTTAAGATCCTGCTGTTCATTTACAAAGCGCACAAGGTAGTGGTCTGGAGTGTAGATAGAGAAATGAGAAAGACAGTTGGAGACTGGATGAAGCAGCCCTGAGGAGAACTTGAGTTACTGGGTGACGAGATGCTCCCCATGAGCCGGCTTCAGTGTGCACTTGAGCCCAGAACCCCCTGTGTGCTGGGCTGCACCCGTGGAGTGTGAGCAGCAGGTCGAGGGAGGGGATTCTCCCCCTCTGCTGCACTCTGGGGGGACACCCCCTGCCGGCCT